ATTCCTTCCGGTCGACTGGCCGTAGTATAACGCTCCCCCATATATTTTACTGTAATTAGAGAGATTCCACGTGGCCACATTGAGGCCCGACCTACGTCTGCTCGGGAAGTCTTCAGCTCATGGGCCCCTGAGGATTTGACCCTTTAAGGGAGCAGCCGTAGGCCGTAACAAACTGGCAGCAGAGCGCGGTTCCGGGTTCGATTCCCCGGTCGATCCCGACCATAGTGTTTGATAAAAATTAAACAATTCTGGTGGCAGGGAGCGTTGGTTTGATTGGTTTAATTTGTATCTACAATCACGCCCGTCCGTAATACGTAAAAATATTTTTTTGTACGTAATAATAAAATTATTTTCCTTTGTTGCTTTGTTGCTTGCCTTTTTTTGGTTAGTGGGTAATTTGAAAAACCGCGCCCTAGGTTGCGCAAGCGGGAGTTTTTCTAGAGATATACGTCATGTAGGTAGATGGTTATTTTTACGTAATCGGTTAATTATCGTTGTCGGATAGTTGTAGTGGATTACTTATCGAAGGGTCGATTTCCGAGCTAGGCATTTTTGTTGATCGACCGTGATGTGTATCTTCGTTTGTATTGTAATTTGTATTTGAACTAAAGAGTAGTAATTTGTATTTGCGCCATTTGAATTTAACTTGATTTGATCGCACTAGTATTTGTTATTTGTTAATTTGATTTGTGTCTTTTCTTTTGTGCTAACTTGTATTTGGTTGATACGTAGTAATTCGTATTTGTGTAATTTCTATTCAACGCGATTTGATAGGAACTGCATTTATTAACTGTTAATTTTTTGTTGTATTTTTTATTTGTTATCTTTGGAATTTGTGCTCGAGCCGCGTCGTAATTTGTATTTAGTAGTGATGTCATCGCCCAAGCTACTGATCCGTTGTCTGCGGACTGAGTTGCGCTGGGCCATAAGCGCCCATGCTTTGATAGGTCGACCGGATAGGATCCATAACTTGATGAAGCGGTTCGAGCAGGTGGATGTTCGAAGGGCCGCAGTGGAGGAAGCTTACGCTGAGCTCGAGGATTCGGATGTGGAGAAGGGAGTCCTGGACTCCTGCTTCGCGGACTATGAGCAGTTCCTTTGGCTCACGGACGAGTTGATCGAGGCTGAAGGCAGGTATGCCGAGGAGGCGCGTGAAGCTCGGATGAGTGGCCTGCCCGAGTCCTCTCGGAAGCAGCTTCAGCCGGAGCTGTTGGGACGGCTCCCAACTCTGGACCTGCCAAAGTTCTCCGGGGTCCTTTCCGAATGGCTGACCTTCGTTGGTCTTTTCGACAGCCTAGTGGACGCCCGGAGTGACTTGACCCCGAGCCAAAAGATGGCGTACCTCCTGGCCTCACTGGAGGGGGAGGCCCTGGGCGTCGTCGGCCACTTGAGATTGTCGGACGACGCCTACCAGACTGCTCGGGACCTCCTAGCCAGAAGATACGCCAACGTCCGGCGAATTGCGGACGAACATGTTAAGCAGCTTCTAAGCCTCCCGCTGCTTAGTGACCGGGCCAGACTGCGTCCGGACCTGTTGGATCCAGTCTTGGTGGCCTGTAATACATTGAGGCGGCTGTATTTACCAGTGGGCGAATGGGCTTTTTTGTTGCTCCGCATCGTGCTGTCCCGTCTACCTCTCGACCTTCGAATCCATTTTGAGGAGAGGTACGGCGGGGACGAGGCCTCCTATATTCCGCCCTTCTGTGACCTGCTACGGTTTTTGGAGGAGCAGTGCCGGCAGATAGAGAACGCGGCGGGCACCGTTGACGACTTACGAGCCGTGCCCAGTGAGAGGCTGAATCCTCCAGGCAAGTCGTCGTCAACCCTCCCCTGCTCCTATTGTCGAGCGTCTGATCATCGGGTAACGTCGTGCCCGAAATTATTAGGTAAGCCGGTTTCGGCGAGGCGAACTATCGCCAAGGAGCGCCGCTGGTGCTGTTCATGTCTGGGAGGGCACCTCCATCGAGACTGTCCGCATCGACGGCCCTGTCTGCATTGCCAGGGCAATCACCATGCAGTTTTGTGCCTGGGTGCGAACGGCGTCTCCTCTCGGGGCTCTGCCAGGCCCTCTACCCCCACGGGCGGGAGCGCTCAGCCACGCCCTCTGCCGGGCGACAATTGGCGCCCGCCGGCCAGCCACCAGGCCCCTAAGTTTGAAAGGGGCCCCTCCCCCGACCAGTCGAGGGGTAATTCCCCCAGGGGCGGGGTCGTCATCACCCCTCCTCAGCGTGTGGAGAGGAACTTCACGGCCACTCATCGGTCCGCTGGACCCTTCTCACTTCCGTTAGCTGAGTGGCCGCGACTGGTGTACCACTGTTCCCCATTTGATGGAGGCGGCCCTGGCTAGCTGCCGCCTTAGCTCCCACCACGGCCGCCTCCACTGAGCCTTAAGCCGTCAACAGTCCACTTGTCAAAATGTTCTGTTGCCGACGGCCTCAGTGAAGGCGTACAACCCGAGTGGCGACTGTTAGCGGTTGTGCTCTATTGATCTCGGGTTCACGCCATGTGGCCTCCCCTTGGTGGTGGGAAGATTAGGGCCCCCCTGGAGCGTTGAATCACGCTGTCAAGGGGTATTAGATTTGGTTTGGTCGAGCACTTAGTCAAAAAATACTTGAATTAAAATTAAAAAATGCTTTGGGCTTTCCGCGAAATTTTCCTATTTGTAGCGGTTTAAATTAAAAGAATTGAATTTAATCTACTTCTTTAAATGCTACTGCATGTGTTTTGTACATATATTTAATCACTGTATTTGATTGTTGCGTCTGTTTGCTGAAAGGAAAATTTGAATTCAGGTGAAATTGAATGGCGCGCTATTTGAAAAATTATGTATATGTTTATGATAGTGTTTACTCATTTTGCTTTATGAAGAAGTAGGGCTGTCCCTTACGTTATTGTTTTGTTTAATTTGTCAAGTTGACCTATGTGCATCGGTGATTAATTTGGTTGAATTGATTCTGTAGTTGAACATTGATGCTTTGAAAAATTAGTTGAAATATGAGCATAGGACTACTTATCTAACAGGCTAGCTAGTTTTGGAGATTATCAGATTGAAATCAGCTGCCGCACTATTTTAGTAAATGATAATATGGTGGGTGGCCTGGCTAGGCCTACTTGTTGAAAATTCATACTAGAGACTATCTGTGCGTTTCGTTCGGCTCTCCACAGACGACGTTCATGTGGAATTTGTGGGTGCGCTCTGCACTGAAGCAACTGCTGGCACAAAATTTGTCTGGGCAGCTTCATGTAGCGTCGCTGTTTGCAGAGCTGATCCAGTCGGATTGCGGAACTAATTATAGGGGCACAGATAGGTGTTTGAAAGAGGTCGTCGGACTTCTGTCCAGTACAGGACTTGTCAAAGTGCTGCGATGCCCAGGAGGGGCATCCAGTGGAGGCTGACCCTCCGGCTTGCCACATTAGGGCTATCTTTTGAGGCGCTGGTTAGGGTTGCAAGATCTGATGGGGTGCCTAAGGTGGCCTAGTTTGGTTGTAGATTCGGTCTTGCAACTTGCCTTCGCGACCTTGTCCCGCTGACCGGCTTACTCGCGGACCTAAATCCTTATGTCCGGGACGGGGGTTTGTTCGCGCCAAGCGCTAGTTTCAAGGATTGACGCGAGAGGGCGCTCGGCGCGGTGCATTCATACCGGTTTGACTTTCGGTCGTGCGAAAAACGCACAAGGGCAGTGAGTCATCTTTAAGCAGTGCTAACGATTGGCACGCTGTCATTCTTGTCGGGAACTCGGAATAATTAAGCGCGGACAGTAAAAATACGGTCTAGGATTTGTGGCGCGCATCCCTACTGGAGAGCTTCCCCGGGACACATTGTGTCTGACTCAGAATCTGCATAAGTGCATTCGGCAATATTAGCTAGTGCGGCCTCTGATATTCTAGAACTAACTGTTGCAACGCGAAACGGTAGCGACCTTTGATCCAGAAACTCCGTGTGCGTTTTGTGCGGTAACCTTATACCCCGCGATAGTTAGTGGCTTCTGTAAGTTAGTTAATCGCACGATAGAGTTAATTGACTGTCATCGTGACGAACGAGGAAAGTGAATGTGGACAACGCCTCGGAGGGCCCCCTCAAGTTGGAACGGTGTCGACGCCCGGGCTGCTGCCGACGGCTAAGGTCTAGGTTCAATCACCATCAGTCACACCCAGATACACATCACATCACCTTCTTTCCCTTGCACTACACAACCACATGCGACCTGACCGACTCCGGAGGGACCAGTCGCCTTGGATATAGGTAAGTAAGCTACGTCCAAATTCCTTCCGGTCGACTGGCCGTAGTATAACGCTCCCCCATATATTTTAGTGTAATTAGAGAGATTCCACGTGGCCACATTGAGGCCCGACCTACGTCTGCTCGGGAAGTCTTCAGCTCACGGGCCCCTGAGGATTTGACCCTTTAAGGGAGCAGCCGTAGGCCGTAACATACAGCATTCGTGTACACCACAGTTTTGGGTGGGGCAAAGTTTTATAGAGGATTTGACATTTTCCTCTGTAACCGAGCGTGAGCGCCGAGCGCCACCGATTGCTTCCGAATTCAACACGTCGCTTATAAATATATGCGTGCGCAATAAAATAGTAGACGTTACATATATATGAATGACAATCATTTAAAATAATGCATTTCCAAATCATTTACACAATTAAAAATGTTCTACAGCCGACTTCAATATAAGTTATTAAGAATAACTCAAAAACTATTGGTCTGACCTTGATCAAATTAATATGGGACCAAACGAGAAGTACCAGCTTTCAAATAAAAAAAGGATCATCGAAATCGGTTTACCCAGTAAAAAGTAATGAGGTTACACACATAAAAAAAACATACAGTCGAATTGAGTACTGTCTCCTTTTTGGAAGTCGGCAGAACAGGACAATTTGTTTGAGTTTTTTTTTTAATTTATTTTCGTTATTACTTATTCTGAACCTCCTTTGCATTGGGATATGAGCATGCTGCATATGGGACATGACTGTGAGCCGGCGTCTGTTTCCAGGAGGGCGGGTTGGCGGTGGAGCGGCGCGCGCGGCGGCTGGCGGCGTGGGCCGGCAGCAACGCGGGCGGCGCGCGCGAGCGGTGCGCGCGCCTCACGCAGCTCGCCGCGCTGCTGGCGCTCGAGCGCGCCGCGCACGCGCACCACGCGCTGCAGCCCGCCGCGCGCCTCGCGCCCGCCGACGCGCGCCACGTGCTCGCGCGCAGGTACACACGCTCGCACTGCGCGCGCCTCACGCAGCTCGCGCGCAGGTACACACGCTCGCACTGCGCGCGCCTCACGCAGCTCGCGCGCAGGTACACACGCTCGCACTGCGCGCGCCTCACGCAGCTCGCGCGCAGGTACACACGCTCGCACTGCGCGCGCCTCACGCAGCTCGCGCGCAGGTACACACGCTCGCACTGCGCGCGCCTCACGCAGCTAGCGCACAGGTACACACGCTCGCACTGCGCGCGCCTCACGCAGCTCGCGCGCAGGTACACACGCTCGCACTGCGCGCGCCTCACGCAGCTCGCGCGCAGGTACACACGCTCGCACTGCGCGCGCCTCACGCAGCTCGCGCGCAGGTACACACGCTCGCACTGCGCGCGCCTCACGCAGCTCGCGCGCAGGTACACACGCTCGCACTGCGCGCGCCTCACGCAGCTCGCCGCGCTGCTGGCGCTCGAGCGCGCCGCGCACGCGCACCACGCGCTGCAGCCCGCCGCGCAGGTACACACGCTCGCACTGCGCGCGCCTCACGCAGCTCGCGCGCAGGTACACACGCTCGCACTGCGCGCGCCTCACGCAGCTCGCGCGCAGGTACACACGCTCGCACTGCGCGCGCCTCACGCAGCTCGCGCGCAGGTACACACGCTCGCACTGCGCGCGCCTCACGCAGCTCGCGCGCAGGTACACACGCTCGCACTGCGCGCGCCTCACGCAGCTCGCGCGCAGGTACACACGCTCGCACTGCGCGCGCCTCACGCAGCTCGCGCGCAGGTACACACGCTCGCACTGCGCGCGCCTCACGCAGCTCGCGCGCAGGTACACACGCTCGCACTGCGCGCGCCTCACGCAGCTCGCGCGCAGGTACACACGCTCGCACTGCGCGCGCCTCACGCAGCTCGAGCGCAGGTACACACGCTCGCACTGCGCGCGCCTCACGCAGCTCGCGCGCAGGTACACACGCTCGCACTGCGCGCGCCTCACGCAGCTCGAGCGCAGGTACACACGCTCGCACTGCGCGCGCCTCACGCAGCTCGCGCGCAGGTACACACGCTCGCACTGCGCGCGCCTCACGCAGCTCGCGCGCAGGTACACACGCTCGCACTGCGCGCGCCTCACGCAGCTCGCCGCGCTGCTGGCGCTCGAGCGCGCCGCGCACGCGCACGTACACACGAACGCACGCGCGCACGTACACACGCAAACCGACGCACGTACACACGCAAACACAAGCACATACACACGCATGTACACATTCACGTATACGCCAACCACGTAAATGGTACACACGCACGTAAGCAGCACGCACACATCCACTTACACGTATGACGTTTGCAACTAATCGGGCTGCTGACTGTGGTGAATTCAAATGTTACCAGCAATAATGAGAATACATCCATATTTACTCCTAAATATTGATTTACTTTTTAAGAGCCAAGTTTTGACGGTAGTTATTGAAGATAATTCATAATACTTTACTATTCATTTCAGGACGGACTTCAAGATGGAAGAAATCAAACGATTGAAGCTTTAGGACTTCACCGCTTATTTTTAATATTCACACAATGATGTAATAAATTATATAATAACCAAGTAACGGAACTTATTGCTGTTGTCTATGTTTTCGCTCTAAATAAATAATTTAAATGTTTTTGCTGTTTTAGTATTTTATTTTCCATTACTAATTTAAACAGGAATGGTGGCTGTTCGCGCCAGACGCTGTTGTCGGAATCGACGTCTAGGGGGCGCGCGGCTCTGGGCGATACCGATTTGAAGTTCGGCCGAGCCTGGCAAGAGCGCGCGGGTCGCGAGCGAAAAACGAGTCGTCTGTCAGCTGTGCTTGGAACAGCACGCTGTCATTTTTGTCGGGAACTCGGAATAATTAGGCGCGGCCAGTAAATATACGGCCTACCATTGTGACGCGCATTCCTGCTGGAGAGCTTCCCAGGGACTCATTGTGTCTGGACTCAGAATCTGTATAAGTGCCTTCGACAATATTAGCTAGTGCAGCCTGATATTCTAGAACTAACTGTTGCTACGCGAAACGGTAGTGACCTTTGATCCGTAAACTCCGTGTGCGTTTTGTGCGTTAACCTTATACCCAACGATAGTTCGTGGCTTCTGTAAGTTAGTGAATCGTACGATAGAGTTAATTGACTGTCATCGCGACGAACTAGGAAAGTGACTGTGGACAACGCCTCGGAAGGCCCCCTCAAGTTGGAGCGGTGTCGGGCTGCTGCCGACGGCCAAGGTCTAGGTTCAATCACCATCAGTCACACCCAGATACACATCACATCACCTTATTTCCCTTGTACTACACAAACACATGCGACCAGGCCGACTCCGGAGGGACCAGGCGCCTTGGATATAGGTAAGTCAGCTCCGTCTAATTCCTCCCGGTCGACTGGCCGTAGTATAGAACGCTCCCCCATATATTTTAGTGTAATTAGAGAAATTCCACGTGGCCACATTAAGGCCCGACCTACGTCTGCTAGGGAAGTCTTCTGCTCATGGGCCCCGGAGGATTTGACCCTTTAAGGGAGCAGCCCTAGGCCGTAACAGTGGCGAGTCTGCTGTGCATTTTCTTTAGTTTGTATTTGTACTAAAACGAATACCGTACCTGTTCCGTACCGTCGTAATACTCGTTTCTGGTAGGGAAGCCCCTGTTAATTTATTTATTTATTTTTTTATTAGTTATTTGTTGTTATAGCGGCAACAGAAATACACATTCTGTGAATATTTCAACTGTCTACCTATTACGAGTCATGACCCGTACTTCTCATGAGATACAGCCCGCTGACAGACAGACGAATGGACAGCGGAGCCTCAGTAATAGGGTCCCATTAGTTAGCCTTTGGGTACGGAACCCTAAAAAGGAGTGTGGCGGCGCTGTCGTAGCGCCACAAGCGAAGACGCACCAACGCCTAAATCACGGTACTGCTGAATATATAGAATAGGTCTGCACTAGCGATGGGCGATTGTTGCCAAAAATAACAATCGACTGAATCGAAAATTGTGCTATTGCACATTTGATTGTCGATTTAGTAGTTCCTCACCATAATTATTCCAATAACAATCGATAAACTACTAATTGTACGCACATCGCACACTGCAATCCGCTGCATTGCGCGGTGAAATGCGGAAGGCCACGCGGGCGGTGTGTGCGGGACAGTGTTAAATTTGTCGATTGTTTTTAAGTATTACATAATGCATATTTTAATTTGTTTACTTTAGTTGGTTATTGACTTTTTTAGAGAAAGGTCACGCGCGGGTTATGAATGGCCGGTTTGAAGCGATGCCTAAAAATCGTAATATAAGGTAAATGATGAATTAATAAACTTTTAAATACGCTTAGAAGACTTTTTAATACTAAAGACTACTGTTCCTATTAAAGTATGAAGAAATGTTTATTGAATTTCATGTGTAAAATTTAAGCAATAAATTAAATTAACATCAACAATTTAAAATAAGAATTCAATACAAAAGTAAGTTATATTTTTAACTGTTAATTTTATCTGTTAAAAAAAATTAACAAATAAGGAGTATGCCAGATCGTGCCCCACCTTGTACAAGAAAGGTAAAAGTATGAAAAATAATCTTATGAATTTTGAAGTTTTTTGTGATACATCGTTATTTTGTACAACTTGCGGTAAAATATTATTAAAAAAAAAGGAATTCAACGATTAATATTTACATTTTCAGTCTTTTCTAATAACATCTGCGTTTCTTTCTACGAATAAGTTCATACGTACGCATAAAGTATCAAACGATACATATTTCTATTAAAATATAAGTCTTTGTCATATTAAAATGTTACTTATCAATTTTTATTTTCTATTATTATTATAAGTCGATAATAATCATGAATTGCATTAGATAATTACTGAATAACAATCATTGTTTCCATGCATTTTGTGAAATGATACTCTATGAATGATACACACACGTCATTGTGTCAATATCGTAAGTACGTATGTCAAATTAATGTCGAATATTTTTCACATTGACTTATTTGTGCTTGTGAAATATATGACGGCACGTGCATCATTGCACGTGCGGCGACCTCGGTGTAGCTAGACAGAATTCTTGTAAATAACACGTGCTCTGCATACCTGCACTATTGCACCTGCGATGGCGCCCGTTTTGCTTGTATAAAATGGACGGAGCGGACGCCGTTAAGACATTCTTGGCTCTGAAGTGGAACGGTACGCTTGTCGTATTCCGATACTAGTTTATCCTCGACTCGTTGGATAGTTAATTCGTGTAAACGAATTAATTATTATTCCCAACTACAAAATCAGTCTATGTACTATACCCATTATACTTCCTACATCAGAAGTGGGATAAAGTCTCCATTTTTGCCCACATATAATTTTCGAATAGTATGAGAATTATTACATTTGTAAAGGCTATAATGCATTTCGCATTGATGGATCTCTTTTTATGTTAAATACCGTAATGAAATTTGCTGTCCTACTTACGATATTGTCGTATCATTAAATTGTAGAGAAAAGATAAAGTCAAATTATTTAAGCCAAAAGATAAATCCTTTTGTTCGATTTGTATTAAAAGTACCCTCAAGTATTTTCATTATTTCTGACGTACCTAAATATGTTAACAAATGTCAAAAGAAATGTTGGAGGCTTTCTAATTAACTTGTTCAAGTTTTGTTGTAATTTGATAGTTCACGCGAAACATGATTATCATTTGCTATATTTTAAAGTTCAAAACGTTTAAGGGTTGTACTACAATAAAGGATTAACTTTAACACGCTATGAATTGAAAATAATAAGTGACATTTTTGTGTTCTAATGTGTTGATCAGTGTTGCAGTTTGCTCCGAATATTGTATCGTCGACAAGATTGGGGTTTGATGTCGAGAGATTCGTAGAAGTCTCTACAACAATGATCAATGAGTTGTGACGGCTAATCGAACATGGTCAGGTACGGCCGAGCGCTAGTAAGATTGAGCCTACACCGCTACAGTCTGTAACTTATCGGCAGATCTTACGGCAAGGCAATTCAAGCGGCCGCCGAACACATGGTCCTTTGGTGCTGTAAATGAACGTCTGAGGCTTGGTCGGCTTTCGTAGATTTTGCGCAGTTGCCTCCTTCCCTTTGAAATATGTGATCGTATCCGTCTCTACACATAGTTTCCGTTTATTGCAATGTTTTCAAATGTCCATACAGTTGCCGTTTCTTAAGAGAATTTGTGATGAATTTTGGAAGCTCGGAATTCCATGGTTCGCAATACATTTATCTCGATTTCTTTTAATTTTGCAAAGCAGTACGACGATTTGCTAGCGCTAGTACGGCGCGACGGCTCACTGGCGCGAATGTGGTACGGACGTAGCAGAACGGAAAGCTGGAGTGTGTTTGCCTGGAGGTAGCCATACCGGCGCGTTCATGATTTAAATGAAGTCTGGGATGGTCGACCGTTGTAATATTTAACAGGAGTTAATATCTGTTAGCAGGTGGTGATAACTGATAGACCGTATGCTGTTCACTGTCAACCACACGAGTACGCGCGACAGTCAGAGGTAGCCTTGTCTGTGCGTCTAGAAAATACAGAGACGTTGCAACACTCTAGCGAAGTAATTATTCTAGTGCAGGAAAGGAAGATGGAGTTGCAGGGAGGCTGGTTTGTGCTGCACTAGGATATGTGTAGAGTTGCTGTTGGTTTACATACTTAGGTGTTATCGTGTCACTACGTCCGTCACGATACATTTTTGTGTGATTGTGACGGGGACATGTTTGCGGTGTGGTTGGTCTGTAACTGTTCTATACTGAATTGAAAAAAAAGAGAGTAAGAAAAAAAATGTGGTTCTTACTATCATTGCAGGGCGTTTGCCGGTCCAATGATATAGCTAAAGGGAATAGTGATTCCGGACTAGCATAAATAGTACTTGAAAAAAAAGCGTAAGAAAAAAAATAGTTCTTACTATCATTGCAGGGCTTTATGCCGGTCCAATGATATGGCTATAGGGAATAGTTATTCCGGACTAGCGAAAACAGTACTTTAAAAAAAAAAGAGAAAATAGAAAAAGCTACAGACTGATCTAACATAAAGATGATTAAAGTTTTGTAGGGCTTACTGCCGGAACAAAACTGACTGTGACCCAAGTCTGAAGAGTCAATATAGACCTGACCAGACGCTGTTTTTTCAGGATAATCGGACGATTTTTACAGATTACAGTTGTTACAGATAACTAAAATTGTGATGGAGCGCGTGCGAAGACGCGCGCATGTCAGTATGGCCGTGACGGCACGTGCATCATTGCACGTGCGGCGACCTCGGTGTAGCTAGACAGAATTCTTGTAAATAACACGTGCTCTGCATACCTGCATTATTGCACCTGCGATGGCGCCCGTTTTGCTTGTATAAAACGGACGGAGCGGCCGCCGTTAAGACAGTCTTGGCTCTGACGTGGAACGGTACGCTTGTCGTATTCCAATACTAGTTTATCCTCGACTCGTTGGATAATTAATTCGTGTAAACGAATTAATTATTATTCTTAAATACAAAATTAGTCTC